GATTAAACAAGTCCTGACATATTAGAGTCTCGATGTGTGTTTGGTGCTCCAAAACCTTCTAAGGTATTTATGGTATAGATTTAGCGATAATAATATAGCAATAACGTTACAATCTAAGGGGTTTGAGGAGGTAACAATATTTATAGAGTCTTAGGCCCCCTTCGTGGGCCGGGGGGGGGGGGGGGGGTTAAAATCATCAGTAATAAGAATGGGCCCCCATCGGGGGCAGACCTCGCTTCTGCAAAAATCTTTATCATTTTCTATTTCTATAAACAGTTTAACATACACTTTATAAAGGGGGATGATAGAGGTGGGGGGATTAAGATGGGATTGATCACTATCTAGCTTTTTCTGTTGTTAAACATCCATAATTTACCTACTTACTTTTAAGTCTAGTTTGCGTGTCAAAGCATACTAATTCTACATTACAAATGCGTTAAAAGCGTTAAAAACTACCCTTTTTACTGAAAAACCGCCACTTTTATTTTTTGAGTAGGTTATCAAATGTAATAGGTCATCTTAGGCACCTTTCTTTCAACGTTGGGAGCATAAAAAGTACCAATTATATACGAAAGGTAGTTAAAAAAAATTTAAAACACGTAATAAATATAGACTTTTCACAATCTTTGAAAGTAGGGCGTTTTTTGAAGGTGAAATGTGCAATTTCCGAAAAATTAATAATAGTGTCTTGTAGAAAATTTAATTCCAGACTCACGATTTCCCGTCAAATCCTTTCTAGCTCTTACCGTTTTCGAGCTACAGATATAAAAAAAACCGTGTTTTCACCAAAAAAATGGGGATTTAAGGGAATTTATTTGGTTGGTTGCAGTTCGAAAAACTAAATTTTGGGACTTTCTGGGTGGTTTCGTATCCAGACGAATCTTCACAAAAAATGTTCAGATCTCTAGCTAACCTAGAAGTGACAAAAATGTGTTTTCTGTTGCAAAACGCCCATAATTCACCTACTGACGTTTACGACTAGTTCGCCTGTCAAAGCACGCTAATTCTCCATAAGAAAATTCGTTAAAAATTATCTTTTTTAACGGATTACTTGTTTTTAATGGATTTTTTGTCACTACAAAATCCACCATTTTTAATTTTTTTTTTCATAAATGAAAATTATAGAAGGTCACTTTAGGGACTTTCCTTTCAACGTTGGGATCATAAAAAGTAGAAATATATGTACGAAAAGTCGTTTAAAAAATTAAAAACATGTAAAAAAATCGAGAATTTTCACAATTTTTGGAAGTATAGCGTTTTTTGAAGGCGAAGGAGTGCGAATTTCGATATAACTACTGACAAAACTGTCTTGTAGAAAATTTAATTGCGAACCTACGTTTTTCCCTCAAATCGATTCTAGCTCTTACCGTTTTCGAGCTACAGCCGTTTTTAAAAAAAACATGTTTTTCCAAAAACCAAAATTTTTATGGAATTTTTTTGGGGGGGTAGAACTTTGAAAATGGGGTTTTAACGAATTTCACCAGTAATGTAAGATCCCATAGTACAATACTACGCAAATTCCAAGTCTCTAGCAAGTTTCTAAACGGTTCAGATGAGTCTCATGAAAGTTGTTGTTTTTCAACGTTATTTCCCATAAGAATAACATGGGGGTATAGTTAATTTAGGGGGGGTTGAAAGAGGAAAAAGCGACTTTTTGGATTTTTACCGGGGGTTTGGGCACTAGACCTACAAAACACTGAAAATTTCACGTCTCTAGCTCATCTAGAAGTGCCCAAACATTTGTATTCGGTACGTTACTAGTTACACATCCGGCTGTATAATATAAAGGTTGGGATACACATCGGGCTGTATAGTTAATTAGATTACAAAATACAGTACAAAGTGATAAAAATATTAGTTCTAACTATTGAGCAAAGATTACACTGAAGATTACTCGATAGGGGGAAATAGAGCAAGTCAGTGGTGATGAGTGGTGAGTGTTTCATGTTGATGCCATTTGGAGTGCACAGGCGTCAACTCAATGTTGGACTCTTTTTTCATATAAGGGTGGATTTTACAATCTTTATGCACTCTCTTAGCGAATTTCCCATGTAGGGAATAAGCTATTACAGGGTGTCTACCAACCGGGAAATCCGGGAAAACCGGGAATTGTACTTAATTTTTTATTGGCCATGAAATGTAGGGAATTGTCCTTAAATGCCAGACTATGTCCTTAAATTTTTAATGGGCCATAATTTTATCGATTGCTAGTTGGTTAGGAGCACATTATCAGATGTTTGTTTACATTTTCATAGTTAATTACTAGAGTAATTATGCAATAAAAACCCCATTAGCAGTCTCAAACCCATTAATATTTTATCACGACAATCAAGTGTCAAGTCAAGTACTTCCAAGAACTGTTGACTCAGTAGTAATTTAGCTCATAAAAGTTGTATCACTTTTATTCCTTTACAACTATTTATTTATTACTAGGGTAATCATTATTAGATCCCAAACATATTTTATCATGGAAATAATAGTTTTATAATGGCTGTTAAATTTCACTTCTTACTTGTACTTCAATTTACCGCTGGCCATTGCCTAGTGTCATAAAACTGTTTATGGTTTCATATAAAACATGTAACTAATCATAAACATAACTAAGTTAAACCCTTTTTTTATGGATACTGTAGTTTATCTTTCAGTTGACAAAACCAAAAGCATTGTTGTTTGCATTAAATTTTTATCACTACGTAGGCCTAATTGGTTTCAAATTATGTCATTGCATTTTCTGTATCTTTGTACATTGTTGGCGGTCAGGTTTCAATTTTTTTTATTTCCCATATTTATTTATTGCGTTGTATGCTTTAAGCAATCTAAATCTTATGAACTAGAATGATGATATTGTAGTGACTTTGCTGATATTATAACCTCATTGTTTGTTATTCAGTTTATATAGGCCGTCCTAAATAATTAGGCCTAGGCCTGGGTATTTTGATTCTTTGAAAGTGCTGTAAAATATACTAAGAAAATGTAATTGAGCCTAAGATAAACTAATGATGGAATGGGCACACGGGAGGGACTAAGGCTAAAGGTGTAGTGACGTCATATCTCTAGTGGCTAATTCTTCTCTTGAGGCAACACGATTACCGTAATGAAACGATGTGATTTCAGCGGTGTTCGTGGCATAGTTGGTAGCGTTGCGGATTGATGTTCAGGAGGTCCCGGGTTCGTAACCCGCTGGAAGCTCTTTTTTTTTTGTTAACAAATTTTTCATATCAGCAAGTTTGGTTGGTTAGGTTAGGTTATGACAGTTTAATTTTATAATACTAAATTTTAAAATTAGTTTTATAATTAATTAAAAATTATAAGTAATCATTAATTAGATTTTTATCTTATATAGCGAATTTCCCATATAGGGAATAAGCTATTACCGTAGGTCTCATGGTAAGACCTAGACCCGGGACCGATTTACTTTTTCGTTTTGAGGTCCCCAGAGGTCAAAAACACCATCCGTTCAAATTCATATATATATTTATATATGTGTCCGTTAGCGCGATAACTCGAGCAAAATTGATCCGATTTTGATGAAATTTGGTACAAACATGTAAACCTACATATATTCGAACGAGTTCGCGAACCAGCATAATCGGACCATGGGATCAGGGGTTTATGGGGGGTTTTATGGGGTAAAAATGGGTTTTTCTCATTTTTGACCCTAAAAACTTAAAATTTCTAAATTTCTCTCTAGATCATTTTGAAGAGCTTAAAAAAACAAATAATTTAGTATATTGAAGTGTTTTTGAATGTTCATTGACTACGGAGAAAATTTAAAAAATTGTAAATTTAAAATTCCCATGTTATTCTTATGGAGAATAAATAAACTGTTCTAGTTTGCTTGTTTATGGATATATTTTAATCAAATTTGGCAATTTGGTTTATTTCATACTAAGCTATCAATATTTCAATTGAAAAAACACATCTCAACATCTTCCCCGTAGCAGCAAACCAAACTACTCACTAAAATTAATGTTATTTAAATAGGAAATAAATCTGAAAATTTATAGGGAATATTTTAGTAGAAATCAAGCCGGGTAAATTACCGTAGTACTCATGGTATGACCTGGACCCGGGACCGATTTACTTTTTGTTTTGAGGTCCCTAGAGGCCAAAAACACCAAATGTTTGAATTTATATGTACTAGCTGTACCTGCGGGCTTTGCCCCGTTTAACTTCATAAGTATTCACATGGCTCAATCACGTCCTGGTTGAAGTTCGTTCGCTACGCTCACTCACCTTTAGGTTGGAAATCGTTCGCTGCGCTCACTTGTTTTCAGGTTAGCTCGTTTACTACGCTAACTCGCCTCCATGTTGATGTTCGTTCGCTACGCTCACTCACCTTTTGGTTGCAAATTAGCTGTTGTCATAAATTTAAAAAAGTCATCCCTTTTATTGTTTATAATACTTTGATAAAGGTTTTTATGTTTTAAACAATTTGTAAACATTGTAGATCAAAAAGTCTGACATTTGTCCACTTAAAACCCTCTGGGGCAGAGCCCTTTTGACGGATCTGCACCAAACTTCACTCGAACCATCCTTGAAAGATGCTTAATAATGCCTGAAAGTTTCATTACAATTTGTCGAGCGGTTTCGGAGTCCATAACGTATATACACATATATATACATACATAGTTCCTCTTTTATAGATATAGATATCCATAAGTAAACAGCCAAACTCCAGAAATGGGTTCTATGGGTCATAATAAAGAGAAAATCAAGATTAACATTTTTTCCAAAATCGCTTTGTTAACCAGATATCCGCCATTTTGTATATTTTATAAAAAACATTTTTATTTTTGAAATTTTTCAACCGATCTTAGTAAAACTTGGTATGTAGGTTAAGATAGAAAATACTAATGTTAGAAAAAAGTTCATCTTGATTCAACTTAAAATTTAAAAATGGCCGCCATCACTAGCTCTTACACAGTTGGCACCTCTGCTCACTGCTCCACTGGTGTATGAGTGTACATAGTGTTATATGATTGGTTATCTGTTTATAGTTAGTGCCAGCCAAGTTGGACAGCCTGGGGCGTGTGATTGAGCAACCTATAGATACATGGGAGCCACGTAGTGGAGTAGCATTGGCTCTTACACAGTTGGCACCTCTGCTGACTCCTCCACTGGTGTCTGAGTTGGCTACGTTCTTTGTATGCACGGGTCTGGGAGACAAGAGTGGGGAAGTGAGGAAGAACATGCTCACTGCAGCCTTGGCCACTGTGGACCTCCACGGCAAGGTGAGTCATAAACCTGGCTATAGAACTAGACATTGGTTCCACCCCGTGTGAAAGTTGTCTCCAGTTTTGATTATAAATGGATGTAATTGAGACAACGACAGTGTCTGCTGATGTAAATTACTGATGTCCATTGAATACTTCAATCTTTTAAACATGTCAAACTAAAAAGACAGTTTAGGTACTTACTTACATGAATAATGTCATAGAAACACAAACAAGTACATGTTTTATCCTCATAAATGGATAAAATACAATAATTTCAAGGGAAACATGTTAAAGGTATGTATTTAATATGAATTATAACTTGTTTACCCGTTCTGCAATCCAATTCTGTAATCTATTACCGGTACTCTATAATATTATTTTTATAAGTGGGTTGCAAAAAACTTCCAAGGTGGCGGTGGGTTTGCCAGACCATTTTAGTTTAGGAAACCTGGTTTACCCCTAATTTTGTTGTTGAACGAATAGTGTTTTTGGCCTCTGGGGACATCAAAGTAAAAAAGTAAATTGGTCCCTGGCCTAGGTCTTACCTACTATAATAGCTACTCCCTATAGGGAAATTTGTTAAAAAATAAAAATAAAACAGATAACTGACAACCGATTTTATAAAAACCCTAACTGAACCTAAACCGATCACTACGGGAGATGTGTGCGTATTTCATTGCAATATTAGGAAATGATGTAACATATTTAGGAGCCAATAGTAGTCTAATAATTAATACTTTTAAATAGCAATACTGACCAAAGCAACCACCCGGTTTTGACCCAAGACAGGAATGACACATCCCGATTTGAAATAATTAAGTTTGACCCTCGCTGTTACCCAAGAAATTGATGGTAAATTAATTTTTGCCATGTTGACAGGACACTGTGAACAGCCTTCTCCCTGTGTTTGAGGACTTTCTGGACCGAGCTCCTGACTCTGGCAGTTACGACGCTGTGAGACAGTCTGTTGTGATTCTCATGGGCTCACTGGCCCGGCATCTTGACAAAGATGACAAGAAGATCAAACCGATCGTTGGAAAACTAATAGATGCTTTGTCCACCCCATCTCAGCAGGTATTTTATACAGCACACAATTACCAAGGTGTTACACAATTATCAGGGCTGTGCGAATCCATAAATTTTGATTCGAATCCGAATCATAGCTCTACAGATTTTATCGAATCCAGATAGAATCCGAATATTTTAATTAGTCTTGAGTCGAAACCGAGTCTCAAATTTACAGCTGTTATCGAATCCGAATTTTAAAACCAGTTCCGAGTTGAATCCAAATCTCAAATTTACCGCTGTTATCGAATTCACTAATTTACAGCTTGCTGCAGCAGTTAGGTTAAGTTATGTAAGGTTGTGATACATTCTGTGGCGAAATGCGGTAGTGTGAGTATAATTAATATACCTGGGCCCAATATATTTTCCACCAACCACCGCTAATTTCACGCACATTTCCTGTTGTTGCTCAAACCATACTGAAATGAACCTATCAAACTCCCCAAAGTGCTCAATAATACCTCAGCTGCATATCACAGCCAGCTTTTATGTTATCTAATATATCTAATTAATAAATAGTGAACAGAGATTTAACTATATAGATGGACTTATTCTGATTAGTAAAAGTATCTACAAGTAGTTAACGTGAATTCAAATATTAATTGTAGTGTAATAATCTGGAAATTTGAACACTAGACGTACCCAGCTTAACTTAAGTAAAATTTATGTAAAACCCACATGAATGTATTACCCACTTATGTAAAAGAAAAAAAAATAAATTTATTTTTTTATGTCAGCAGTTTTTTTACTATTTTTTTTATATTTAGACCCCGTTTTCTAAGGCCATTGTATACATGAGGGGGGCAGTGGCCGCCTAGGACCGTACACATGGCAGCGGCTGACGCTGCGGTTGTGCTGTGAATTGACGGTCACTGGACAGCCAGTACAGTATTTACCTAATTTTTTCCTTTGTTCTACTTGACAATTCTTTTCCGAAAAAAAATTGTACTAACTCTTGCCACACAAACTTTTTTATTTCCCGATTTGTATAGTCATTGCATTACATATCCCAAATGCATCTTGTTTTTTGTACTTCTTCAATGAACAGTTCAGTGTCAAAGTTTTCTGGTTCCACAGCAGCTTGTATGGCCATTAAACTTACACTACGTCAACTACAGTAGAGTCCCGCAAACTCGGCGTAATGTGGACTGGAAGGGTGCCGAGTTTGTGAAATGCCGGGTTATCGGGAACTAGGGTTAAAAATAAGAACAATACAATTTTTAAGCTTTTTAACTGCCTCTTTTATTTATATTTATGTTACAAGTTAGTATTAAGTCATCAGATATAGCACAACATATCCTTGGTACGAGCTGCAAATGATTTGACTTGATCTGGCTTGAGTCCAGGTTTAATTCGGACTCAAAAAATCACTAATTTTCTGAGCCAGGTGATGGCCGAGTTATCCAGACTGCCGGGTTATCGAGTGCCGAGTTTGCGGGACTGGACTGTACAGCTACAGCTACACACTACACCAATACACAGAGAGCAATGTCTACAGGGCGAGCACGCAGATGTCTGTGATCATAGTAGCAACTGCTGTCAACCGCCGCGGCTATCGCCCTCATGTGTACGCTCTCACTCCAACTCTAGTAACTCCAACCGTGTGGGAGCCGGGAAATCTACAACTGCCACAGTTTATTGCGGTTGATTGAAAGTGGGTGGTTGCATGTGAACGGTCCCATTTGCTCTTAAGTACTCTCAACCGCCGCGCTTCCCACGCAATAGCAACCACGGCGGCTACCGCCCTCATTTGTACAGGGCCTCAAACATAGGCCTAGCCTATACTTCTCAATGTGCTCCTAAGTACTCTCAACCGCCGCGCTTCCCACGCAATATCAACCACGGCGGCTACCGCCCTTTGTTATATTAACAATACTCTTCTTTCCCGGAGGGAGTTCGGTCAATTCCCATACACCTTGTGCATGCATGGATGCTATTTTTTTTTGTCCATTGCTGTTTTCCATTCAGCACTATCCTCTGAACTCATGGCTTCAGTGTAAGATTTAGGTTCATCGTCAACAAGAAGAACTTCGTCAAAGTTAGACGAGACGTAATCATTTAGCCACTCGGGTTGGCTTCTTTTCCAAGTCGAGTGCCTGGTTGCAGGATCGTTGGATAACGCTGCATCTTCACTATCACTGCTACTTGATGTGTCCTCAGTTCGTATAGGCTCATCATCACCCTTCACTGGAGAACTAGGCTCGTCAATAGTCTCTTCAACTTCTTGCCAATCTTCTTTGGTGTCATTGGTTTTCTCAATCTTGATTGGCCACTAAACTTTCTTGTCACAATCTCCAACAATTTCGTGAAAACCAATGTCACAAGAAACTACGACATCTCTTCTCTCTGGGACGTAGATTCGATATCGTTCATCACCATCGTATCCAACCAGGTAACCAACCACAGCTTTCTTGTCCTTTTTCCGCTCACAGTTGTTTGATCCTTGGCTTTTGACCAAACCAGAGCTCAAAGACTGATTTGTTAGCAACTGCTGACTTTCTCACTCGATTCCAAACGTACCCAGCAGTGATGACAAGTTCGTTCAGATCGCTGCAGGAAATATTACATTTGGATTTTCGTACTTGAAGGTCCGGGCCATTTCGACGATTGTTCTGTTCTCTCTCTCCACAGCACCATTTTGTTCGGTTGTATACGGTGCTGTCAGACGTTGGTTAGCACCATATTCTCTGAGAATTTGACGAACTTCAGCGTTGTCAAACTCACCACCATTGTCGCTGAGAAACTCTCTGACGTGATGACCAATTGTACGTGCTTTAGCCAACACTTCACGCAATTCCTTGACAGCAGATTTTTCCCTTGCGACAAAACAATATCGGTACCTTAAAAAGTGGTCTTTTATGGCGATCAAGTAGCGGCGACCTCCGAATGATGGGTCAAACGGGCCGCAAACATCGTCGGATAACAACTCATCTGGGGCTGAGGGGCGTTCTCGTGTTCCAAATGGTAAATGGCCTTTCCGAAATGACACGATTCGCAGATCTCTAGTTGGCTGGCACTTTGATACCCATTTCGGATTTGATCTCCAATCGGTCGCATGTTCTTCGATTGCGCCATGGGCCAAAGAAGAGCACCGCAAACGCTGGGTCGATACTCCCCTTCTTAGGGTCAGCAAGCTTACTCTGTTTAGGCCTTCAAAAAAGGTTGCCTCTGACCTCTTGAGACTAGACAGACGAAGAATTAAATTAACTGTTGAACTGATAACTGGTCATGAAAGATTCAGGAAACATTTACAATGGATGGGCTTATTTGATGGTGAACCGATCTGTAGGCACTGTGATAGGTCAGAGGAGACAGCCGACCACCTTCTCTTTGATTGTTACGAGCTCTCTGATGCTAGAAGGATAACTCTTGGCAATGGGGCAAGAGGCAGATATCTTCCCGAGGAGGACCTAATTGGGAAGCTACAGGCTTTCATTGGACGCCTAAACCTGTAAGGTCATAAAAAAAAAACAATTGTCTGGGGTGCGCAATAATTTGATTATCGGATGAAGTGCTTCATGGTCTTGGCCTGCACCTATTAGATAAGATAAGAATATAAAAGCAAGTTTCAACCCTGTGTTAAAAAAGCAATATTTCGTTACCACCAGTTTTTTCCACATTACTTATATTTCATTTTTATTTTTAAAAGAATACTTTCAAACAATTGAACTACCTGTGATTGCACAGGTACAAGAAGCAGTAGCCAATTGTTTGCCCCCACTGGTCCCCGCTATGAAGGAGGATGCCCCCGCCTTGGTACAGAAGCTGCTGAACCAGCTGCTGGACTCAGAAAACTATGGGGAACGCAAGGGAGCTGCCTACGGACTGGCAGGACTTGTCAAGGTATTTTCATCTTAAGAGTAACAAGTATAAAATAATATTGTCTTTGTGAAATCAGTAGTGGAGCTTATTTTGAATTTTAAGACCATAATAGCTAATGACCATTAAAATCTTTTGCAAGCAATGCTTAGTAGACTAATGTTGTTACCACAACTTAGTAAAAATATGATAAACAGAACTTAACCACACTGTATCATTCAGGACTAGTCAATACTGTCACGCACATTTCACATTACCTAACCTTTCGCTCCATATTATTTCTTCTTTTCTTCTTAAAAAGCTCTTTTAAATTAGATTTTAATAACAGATAATAAATACACTTGCAAATTTTGTTGATGTGGTTAGTGACTTAATTGATCTATATTAATATTAGGTATGCGTCGATTCTAAATACAGATTCTCAATACCAATTCTCAATAATGAACTCTTGGACATTGTTATCACTTATCAGTATCAAGAATTGATCGTCAAGAGTACATGCCAATAGCGATACCCGACTCTTCTGCAAAGATTATGTTACTTACTTACTTACTGCTGTGGCCACTGGTACCCTAGATGGTACTTGGCCTCCCCAACACACTGCCTCCAATAGGGCTTCTTGCATCTTCCTTCCTTCTCCCTAGCTTCCTCTGGTCTTTCTCCACTTGGTCGAACCATCTAAGTTTCGGTCTTCCAAGGGGTCTTTTACCTTCTGGGTTATTCCTCAAGATGTTCTTTGATAGGGAGTTGTCATCTTTTCTTAGAATATGCCCTGTCCATCTCAGTCTTCTGCTCCGTACCTCAGCGACAATATCCGGATCCTTAAATAATTCTCTAAGTTCCCAATTATGTCTCGATCTCCATTGTCCATCCTCAAAAATCAGTCCGTACACTTTCCTCAAAATCTTGTTCTCAAATACAATAAATAGCTTTCCTTTCTGATATCTTGCTTAAGATCCAATTTTCTGAACCATACAGGAGAACTTGTCTGATGATTGTCTTATAAATCCTGAGTTTGGTGGTGTGGGATATTATTTTTGAAGTTAGTAACTTGTGACAGGCCGAAAAACTTTTTTGTTCTAGGTTAATCTATTTTGTATTTTGTATTTCATCATTATCGCTGGTGAGGATGACTCCCAATTACTTCAAATTTGTTACTTTTTCAAATTTATACTCTTCAATTTCAATGTAGTTGTTATTTTGGTATCTTGGTTGGTCATCATCTTGTTTTCTTCCACATGTCATAAACTTGGTTTTCTCTTCATTTATGTATAGCCCCATGTTCAATAAGCATTTTTGTTACATCTTTAATTTCTTTGTAAATTATGTGTAATTAATACTATGTCATCTGCAAAAGCTAGCAAGTTAATGTTTGTTCCTATCTTAATCCCTACTTCTGTCTTTCTTATTTTTCTGAAGGGCTGTTTCTATGGCTAAATTGAACAGCAATGGAGATATCCCGTCTCCATTTACTCTAACTTTGCACTTAGAACCTAAAACACTCAGTTTTGCTAGTTCTATAAGTTTTCTTGGTTTATGTTAGGCCTAAAAAATTTTACTCTTTCGTTGGGATTGCAGATGATGAAAATAATGTTTCTGTGACCGTGGGAAACAATGATAATGCCTACACCACTGTGGGAGATGATCAGAATTTAGCCACAATCGCGGAAGAGAATGATAATGTCTACAACGGCAGGAGATTTTCATTATTTTTTGCAATCCGGAGACAATAACGATGTCTAGAACTGCAGTTAAGATATCTAGGATTTAGCTGGGATTGTAGAAGACAATGATAATGTTCCTGTGACCGAAAGAAACGCTCAATATTTTGCCATTGTAGGAAATCCTAATGTTTCTTTCTGTTACCGCTGAGGGTTATTTTGGATTTTTCTGCGATCATATATGACCGTGATGATATTTCCTTGCTTGAGATAGTCAAAATTTGTTATTGCTTCTTTAATTTTTTGTTTAGTTCAAAAACTCTGTATCAAAACTTGGTTTTTCAGGCATCAGTATCAAGAATTGATCAATTTTTGTATCAACCCATCTCAAATTACTGACAAAATTGTATTTTTCTCAGGGTATGGGTATTCTAGTCCTGAAACAACTGGATATAATGAGTACGCTGACAAATGCAATTCAAGACAAAAAGAACTACAGGCATCGTGAAGGTAAGGAGAGAAATCACTCACAATGTAAACAAATATTATTATTACTATTCTAAAAAAAGATTTTTATATCTGTTACAGGGTGTCCACAGACCGGGAAAACCGGGAACTATGCGTGATTTTTTTGAACCGGGAATTATGCGTGAATTTTGTATTTAACTGGGAATTTTTAGCCACGACCGAGAGAGACGCCGATGACGTTCCCGTAACCGCGGGAGACGATGACGACGTTTCCGTGACCACGGGAGACGATGACGACATTTCCGTGATCGCGCATGCAGACGATGACGTTTCCGTGTCCGCGGGAGTTGACGATGACGTTTTAGTGACCGCGGGAGACAACGATGACGTTTCCGTGACTTCGGGAGACGATGACAACGTTTCCGTGACCGCAGGAGACGACGATGACATTTCCGTGACCGCGGGAGACGACGATGGCGTTTCCGTGACCATGGGAGACCGATGATATTTCCGTGACCGCGGGAGACGACGATGACGTTTTCGTGTCTGCGGGAGACGACGATGACGTTTTCATGACCGCGGGAGACGACGATGACGTTTCCGTGACTGCGGGAAACGATGATGATGTCCAACAATATTGCTTGACAATGATGACCGCGGGAAATTATTTGAATTAAGCTACCATCGAGGAAGATTATGATAACTTTACTGTGATCGCGGGAGACGATTATAATGTTTCCGTTACCGCTGAACAATATCAGGATTTTTTCACGACCACGGAAGACAGTGGTGATGTTTCTGTTACTGAGTGGATATTCAGGATTTTTCAGTTATTGCAGAAAACGATGATGGTGTCTCTACGACTGTGTTAGATGATAACAATATAACCTTGAGTTTGGCTTTACCAAAATTTTCAAAATGGCACACTTTTAGAAAGTTTTTTAAATATTTTTTTGTAATATCTTCATCTACCTTTAACGTGGTATTTATTTAATATGTTTAGAAGGGTTTAAAACATAAATTGGCTACGTGCAATTTTTGTAATTTCTGCATTATCATTTATGTAGGCTACTTGGAAAACAACCCATTACTCCAAAATTATACTATATGAAAGTACATAAAGCCAGGGGTTGGTGTAGTAATCCTTCAGAAAATTTGGAAAAATTGTTATGATCAGTATTAAGAATCTATTTTTCAGGTATCTGTACAGAGATTCGATAAATTTTTGTATCGATATATCACTATTTTTAGGAAGTTACTAATAAATTGCAGGTTTAAGGATTAGTTTTTAATTTTTGGATTATTTAATCAGTAATATATAAAAATTGAATACTTGTCTCAGGCAATATTACAGCAATCATAATTTTTTCCCCTCTTAACTGATAATGCTCCGATAACTAAAATAGCGAGCTGCGTTAGTGTTAAAACAGCATTGAGGGAGTTCGCGCAAAACACGTTGGAAATTTTAGTATGAAAAGTACGACCTGAACTACCTGGATTTTTTTTTTTACTCATGAATTTTTTCTGGTTGGCCTGGTGGACACCCTGTGTTAGCAAGAACCTAATAAGTTAATCTAATCTTGATTGTTCTTGTCAGGAGCGCTGTTTGCCTTTGAGATGCTATGCCACATGTTGGGGCGTCTGTTTGAGCCATACATTGTCCATGTGTTGCCTCATCTGCTGTTGTGCTTTGGTGATGGCAGTCAGTACGTCCGTGATGCCACTGAAGACTGTGCCAAGGTAGGTACTTCTGATTTTGGTTCAGTAATCTACCAATTCAAACTCCATTGGCTTTGTTATAGTGTTTGAATAAAAATGAATTCAAATTTTGTTATGCAAATTAGGAATCAAGTAGTGTGTAATGGTACACAGTCAATTGAAATATTTCCTTGCCAACACAAAATGAATTAGGTACTATCGGTAATATTTGGCTGGAAAGTGATAGTTTTTTGGGTGGGGGGAAAGTGATAGTTATAAAGATGGGCGGGATTGAATTTTGAGCTTGGGATGGGGCGAAATTTCTATTTCCTTCCCAATTTTCGGGACAGGATTTTTCCTACATGCAAAAAAAAGGATTTTTTTATATCTTGTAGGGGTGTGTGAAGCAGCAAACATTTTTGGTTCGAAGCAACGATTTTATTTAAAAGATTTTCTATTCGAATCGATGCAACTCAATTCGGCATTTTTCTATTTATACTTGTCAATGGAGTGAAGTAACAATAGGCTAATTAAAATTTACCACATTTGTGTAATGCAAATTTTTGTTGATGTAGTATTAGGTTTATTCATACATATGACATATACAAATTTTAGGTGAAAAAATAGTTATTTTCAATCATATATTAGTAGGGGTCTGCGGTACAGAAAATTTAAGGTCGGTACGGTTCGGTACGGTACAATATTTTGTACCTCGGTTCTCGGTACAAAATCGGTACGGTACGCGGCTACCCGTATTTTTGCGGTTTTCTTCTCAGAACTGTATCTAAACCATTATTTTTAACTTTAATACATAGACATTACTATGAAAATGGATAGTATCCTACATTCATGGTTTTCTAACAACAATTACTGTACCACATATTATTAAAACAAAACCTTTTACTACTACGAGGATTGTGTCAAGAAAAATCACAGTTGAGATAAAGGCTTTACCTATTTTACTCTGAGATACTTTGAATAGCCATGATAAAGTAGTTTAAAAATAGGATAAGAGTTTTTATGAATAAACATGTTTGAAACATTTATTGACAAGATAATTTCACAAAACTGGTAAATTATTTCCAACCAACACAATGTCTAGTTGTTGTTTTTTTTTTATTTTAAAAACATATAAAAGCATCCAGTAGAAGACAGTGTGGTTTTGCCAGCTGTTCACAGCAGATGACAATGAAAAACTGGAGGTTATGATGAAGTAATGGCAAAGACCATTTTTTTTTTATCAGCTTCAAAACTAGTTAAGTTATAAGATGGATACAATTCTTGCAAAGTTTTTTTCTGAAACTAAAATTTGGATTATCACAGAGTAAGATTTGATGTTGGGCAATTAGACTTTATAACTGTGTAAAAGGTGTGTATCCCTGAATTTATAAATTGCATTCTACACTTATTCACTGCCAAACATAATTCAGTAGAACCTTGATGAACCGAGAATTACACTAGCCTACATAACTTCATTACCCCAAGTAAAATACCAAGATAATTTTTATAATTGTATTTTAATCATATAATCTTAGTTTGTTAAAAAATGGATTGTATGTTCAACAATAATTGCAGTCCATTATTGTTAAGCAGTATGGTCCCAAATTATTGTTTTTGATTTTGATCATCACAGTTCATTTGACAAAATTATAGTTGAAGCAGCTCAATGTCAAGTCAAAGTCACGCTTGTGCAATAGTTTGTTTACATGCTTTCTCCAGACCACGGGGGAGGGGAGGGTCTGATAAGCCGTCTATTGTTCACCCCCAAGAAGGTCCGACCCTCATTAGTGCCGCTCGGCTGCACTCAGTGGGGAACCCAATACCACAAATCAATCTTTTAAATGAATACAAATATTTGGTAATAATTGTTTTATTAATATTCACCTTGAAATTTCAATAAATTTGGTGTAAAATTTGACAAAAATCTGCCATTTGGACCGATTATTAATACAATACCAAATACCAATAAAGTAGTACATTCATTGGTAATTAAATAATAGGTAAAAATTTACCGATTTTCGTCAAGTTTTACCCCCTGCTGTGCGCTATGTCACAAAAGCTGATAACTACATGGGTGATTAGTAACCATGGCAACTTGTTGAATGCGTGATGAAGGGAAACCCAAGAAATAGAAGAACAAAGAGAAAGAATAGACGTTGTTATCTTTATACCCTTTTTACAATTTCCGTTATTGTTATCTTTATGTAAGATTTTATGATTTTGTTTTATAGGTTTATAAAATAATTCTTTTTAACTACGTGAATATCAATTTATAATTTATCAACGTGCTTCTCTTCTGAAACAGCAATACCGGATGCATAATGAAGGTCAATGGCCTAAAATATCACGATTGTGCAATATTGTATTTTGATGTTGAAATTAAAATCACGACAAAAGTTTGTATATATCCATGGTCGTCAATAGACAGATAAAATATCCATAACAAATATTTTAATTTATAAAATAAGATTGTAGATTAGTTACAAGTTTAATATGTAGCCATAAACAGTTTTATGGCAGTAGGCAATGGCCAGCGGCAAATTCAATATTCACGAAAATACTGATTAAGTTAGAGATAACATTTAACAGTCATCATAAAACTATTATTTTTATGATAAAACAGAATTGGGGAAAGTCGTAAAGAAATAAAAGTGATAAAACTCAACAGTTCTTGGAAGTACTTCAATACAACAATTATTGTCGTGATAAAATGTTAATGGATTTGGGACTGCTAATGGGTTTTTTATTGCATCATCACGCTAGTAATAAATTATGAAGATCGTAAACAAACATCTGATAAGACTTTTATGTGCTTGGAACCAACTGCCGTTGACTACGATAGTAACGATAGTAAACTGAAAGTAATTTATTATTATAATAGGCTGTACCGAACCGAATTTGTACTGTGTAAAATGTTGTACCGAACCGATGACTGTAATTAAGCTTGTACCGTACCGTACCGACTTTTTCGGTGCACCGCAGACCCCTATATATTAGACCTGTGTATTGCTGGAAATGTCAGTCAGCTGCTTTACTAGCCTATTTCATAATTTTTACTTGCAGAATCATATTGTTAAGCATGTTGTCATTTTATAATATTTATTTTACAAATAAAGATATGTTTTGGTATGGTGTAAACAAATAAAAACAGTTGTAAGATTTAGATTTATACTAAAACTTTCAGTTGGTTCACATTGATAAAATGAGAGTATAGAATCAGACCTTTATGACCAAATGACATACATATCAGTCTGTCATTACTGAAAAATGAGTGGATTACTGACGACACAATCTTGCTCTACTATAATAGACTCACCCTTTCGGTTTTGCACACTACAGAGAAAATATTGCTAATGAACGCAGTAGTTACTCAAGCAATTAAATGCCTTCAAGACATAGATGACCTCCCATCTCCTCTGGACTTAAGTGATAAGACATATATCCTTTTCCCCATCAATGATGTTCAGTTTGAAACTAATACAAAAGATCCAGATGATGCTCAAAATCAGTACAGAAAAAGTGGTTCACACTGGAGCTTATTGTTGTTTACTAAAACCCTGAAGAAGTTCTTCTATTTTGACTCTTGTGGAACTTATAATTTAGTCCATGCACAACAAGTTGCTAAGAAAGTGAGTACTTTTTTAAAAATTAGTACTGAACTTCCCTTCCAAGTTGTGAATGTTCCTCAACAATCAAACACTGCTGATTGTGGTGTTTATCTGACAATCTTCACTGACGTAATAGTTCAGATGATAAAACATAATACATTGGAAGGATTGGGAGTTGAGGGCAGTACAATTCCTTGTACAATAAAACAATCTCACATTGTTACAAAGAGAGCTCAGTTGGCCTCTCTGTGGCACACTTTTCAACATTTATCATCTGATGTTATCTCTGATATGATGTTTCAACTACCTGAGTATGGAAACAATAAGAATCATTCACACATACTGCACCAAGATAAATACTGTCAAACACAAGAAATATGGCAAATCCCCAGAAAAGTGACTAGTAAAAAGAATTGTAGTTATAGTAGGCCTATATCCTTAAACAACAGCTACAACTTACTTTCTCAGGAACAACTGGAACACCAGGCCCAAGAAGTGAATAATACATTTACTGGAAAGGTTAAGGAGTCTACTAGAGTGATGAATGGTCTGAGCTTTAAAAATACTTTGTATGGAGACCCAGTCCGAGTGGAACTCTTTGCAGATAGCCAAGGAAAAGGACTTCCACAGATTGTTGGCCTGTGCAGTGGTAACCAAGTCTTGGTTAACGGAACGGTTAAGTCTGGTGCTGACATAACACATGTATACAGCCAAGCAGAAAAATGTCCTCTAAAACCTCTCATACTGATAGCTGGGACCAATGATATTATAAAAAAAACCCCACACATAATTTTCAAGGAAATGGAAAGTAAAATTAAAGCTCTGAGTGCCGTAAGGCCAGTCTGTATTACAACAATTCCACCTCGTTTTGATCTGCAGCCCAGCAACAACATTCACTACGACATAGCTTTGTCAAACAATTACATCCGAGAAATTGTAGCACGAATGAAAAACGTTAAGCTTATTGATTTGGATTATTTTCAGAGAGATTGTTTTTCCCGGCATGGCCTGCATTTGAACTATAAGGGTAAAAAAAAACTGGCTTTTATGATCATTGACTTTATAAATAATACTGCTAGTAAAAATTCCTGTTTTGATTCAAATGGAAAAAAGTCTAATAAGGGACCTCATCCAAATAAGCAGATGCTTAAAAATAAAGATAGGTCATTAAAAACTAGCAACTTCAAGTCCAATCCTGTAAATAATCTTAAGAATTCTATTAAGCCGAATGTTATAAATGTTGTTGAAACCAACATGTGGAATGCCATTGATGTATATAGAAATGATCCATCTGCAGCATTTGCTCACACCATTTCAAGCGACTTAGATCACAACAAAAATATGTCTGCTGGTGTAGCAGTTGTGTTTCGGAAGAAATTTGGTAGGCCTCAATTACAAAACTATGTAAACTCTAAGCTTATGTGCCAGGTTGTG